CTCATGGGGTATCCAATAAAGCAAAAAGAAATATAAGAAAGAGTCAGTGAGGCAGATCTTGATATAACTGCAATAGTGGAAACTAAAATAAATTATATAATCTCAGATGCGTACTGGGAAGATGGGACACCACAAGTGTTGCTCTCATTCTTTAATTACACTTAGATAATTACACACACACACACAGTATATAAGATGAAAATTATACTAGGATAAAGTACATTTTATTTCCCTTATAGCTGAAGTTAATTAGAAAATTATTTAAAAATTGATTTAGTAAATTACAAATACTTGCTTTCTTGGCATTATTTGGAGTTTGCTGATATGCTGAGATGGGTTTTGCAAACATCGTGTTTGTTAGTTTGCTAAGGAGGCTGTTTAGGGCAACAGAAGTCTGGGTTGAAGCTGCATAATCATTATCTTGCAAAGATTTACCATAGTTTTGCAATGATGGCATAGGTGGGCTAATCAATTTATCTTGAGAAAATAGATCTTGGGAGTTATGCGATTCATTAGGTATCAGCTGTGTGGCAGCTGATAAGGTCGCTTGACTTTCATGTGATGAAGATTTTAAGTGGCACCCTTCTTCATTTTCTAAATGCTTTACTTGAGGAAGGTTTTCCCTTAAACTTGGCGAATTTTCATCAGATGATGACATCCAAGATCGTTGTAATATTATATCAGATGGCTCCTGGATATCTTCTTCCACAGATAAGTCATCAAATTTTAGTTCAGAGCTGATTCCAGTTTTATGATCTGGTGTACCAAATGTTTCCTTCAATTCATTTACAGGATCATTTTGTGTATCTAAAACTATGTTATTCTTTTCAGCTACTTGTTCAACATAGGATGTTTCTGCCTCTGATACATAGCTAAATCTTGCTGCAGATACCAAGGGTAAAGCTTCATTATCTTCGATCAAAGTGCTCTGAAGTGGTCCAGAAGAGCTGCTTTGGGTATGAAGTTTATTCTTAAAAGCTTCACTTATCTCTCTGGTGTCAAATGTTTGTGTTGAGAGATCTGCATCTACAGATACAGGAGTATTATTTGGAGTACCAGGAACATTGTGTATATTAAATATATCATGATTCACAACTGGTTTTGGCTTACTAGGAATTCCTAGCTGTTGAGGAAGATTGCTTTCAACAAAGGTCTTAACTTCCATTTCTTCTACTGATTTTCGAATTCGCTTTGTACATGGTTCACTCGTTTCAGGGGAGGAAAATCCAAAAAATTCACTGATATCAGCTCTTACCCTTTTATGCCTATCATCAAGGTCTTTTCCTTTTGATGGAATGAGATTGAAGTCCATCATGTTTGGGGTGTTTGACTCGAGTGAACTCTTACTAGTGTGGCGTAGAATGTCTGCAGATTTATTCTGAATATAGGATTGTTCTCCACTTGTTGCTAATTCAGTACTTTTATTAACTGTACTTAACGGGTTGTTATCAGTATCAATGTCAGTGTTTCTTTCGGCATAAGAATTACTTTTTTCACAGGTCCTTGGTATACGTTTCCGTTTACTTACATTATTAACCTTTGCCTCCCTGCCAAGGCTAATACGCTGTCTTCTAACCTTTACTTGTGATTTTTTCCGTTCTCTAAATGGTTGCCACTCGTCGCTGCTCTTCTCAGACCTCTGTGGCCCAGATGAAGATTTTCTGTTAGAATATGTAGATCCTTCAAATTTTACACTTTGCCTTTGACTATATAACCAACTGTGTTCGGTTTCTTTTCCTGAACTATCAAGATCAGAGTAAATGTCATGTGAATGAGTCTCAATTTCATTAATCTCTGGGTGCTCATAGAAACCATATGCTGCTGATTTCTTTGAGGAATCCTTTACTTTTCCTATTTTAGGGCTGGTTTTTGTTCTATTTAAATTTTGAGACTCTGAAATAGTTTTGGTGAATTGTCTTTCTTTAACACTCTTACTTGCTTTAAAATATTTGCTTTTATTCTTGCTCAATGTCTGTAGGGGACCTGAAGGCCTTCTATGCTTCCTAAAATATTTCCTCGAGCTTTTTTTTAAATCGGGTGACGTTGTATCATCATGAAGACTACAATTAGTGCTTTTGTATTTTTCACTGGAATCAGTTCCATTCTTAAATGTTTGAACCGAGGGTACTGGAAGAGATTCTGAACCCTCATCATCAAAAGTGTTTAATTCATGAGTATTATTCAGGGGAGGACTTGCTTTCAGCATTGTTAGAGCTGTGGTATCAAAAAGCTTCTTTTTACTTTTCCAATTTCTTACTCTAGTATCCTCTGAAATATCTGAAACTGAAGGGTGTCTCCTATTTCTACTTTGAAATGGTGGATAAGACCTTGATCTCATATTTTCCTTTTGAGTTTTAGGCTTAAAACCACTTTTTGAAGTTTTCAAGCCTGTAGATTTAACAGGATAGTCTGCTAAAATCAATAATGTTGACATCAAAGCCTTGCTTGGACTCTTTTTGGTACCATCAATAACATATAAATGAGATGTCTCAAGTTGATGAATGGGTGATATCCGAGTTACCATTCCATTTGTATCTTGATTCCTTGTAACATCTAGCTCAAGTTGCTCTGGATCACCAACGTTCTCTAATGTATCTGAAGGATTAATTTCATTTAAAAGCATGGTTTTGTTGCTTGATAATGGTTGTTCCGACTCCTTTCCCAGTTTCTCAATGTGCTCAGGAATATACAAACTTGAGGCATATTGTATTGATTGCTTATGAGTATTATTTGTGTTGAATAGTGAACTTTCAGTGCCAGACTGAGGAAAGCCATGCATACTTACAGATATAGATTCTGGTGTGGTAGGAATAAATGAAGCTGATTTTAAGATATCATAACGTGGTGAGTTAACCCTGGATGGTGTTGATTTTGGGGAGACTGGTAATGATGTATTGGATTTTGGTGATAGAGGTAAAAAGGGGATAGAGGGCAGAGATGTAGGATTACCAGCATTACTGATGGAGTTATCTGCCGTTCCAGATGTCACAGAATTCATTTTACCACTGCTGGGCAAAGAAGCATCTAAATCAATGATTTTTGGCCAATGGGTACCATGCCATGCAGTGCCAGGCCTTGGAGTATCACACTCATGGATTTTAGGCCATGGAGTGTCAGGTCTTTGGTCACGTCTTGGATTATTATACTGTAGGCTGTCAGCCTTAGTTGTATCAAGATGTTCACTATCAGTTTCTGAAATATCAGGTTTTTGGCTATCGGGCCATGGAGCAACAGTCCCTGGAGAAGCATACTGCAAAATTTTAGCCTTCGGTATATCATTATGCAATGCATTAAACGCTGAAGAGGAAAGTTCTTGAGCATCATCACTTGGAGTTGGTGGACACATTCGCTCTGGCGAAGTTGGGCATGAGTTTTCAAACTTCTGGGTTGAAAACTGGACAATATTTGTATTATGACCAACAGGAGTCAAAACTTTTCTTACTGGAGTGGTAAAGCACAAAGAATTAACTTCTTGAGTGATATGCTTCAGAGAATGAACCTCAGGAGGGTAAAGATGGAAAGCATCAGCCACAGTAGTGGGAGAGCAAGCTTTTGGAGTTGTAGTGTAAATAACATTAGGTTGTGGAGGGACACATTGCAATACATTTCTTTTTGGAGTGTTAGGTTCCACAGGGCCAGCCACTGGAGTTGTAGGGTGTATAGAACCAGCCACTGGAGTTGTAGGGTGTACAGAACCAGCCACTGGAGTTGTAGGGTGTATAGAACCAGCCACTGGAGTTGTAGGGTGTACAGAACCAGCCACTGGAGTTGTAGGGTGTACAGAACCAGCCACTGGAGTTGTAGGGTGTACAGAACCAGCCACTGGAGTTGTAGGGTGTACAGAACCAGCCACTGGAGTTGTAGGGTGTACAGAACCAGCCACTGGAGTTGTAGGGTGTACAGAACCAGCCACTGGAGTTGTAGGGTGTACAGAACCAGCCACTGGAGTTGTAGGGTGTACAGAACCAGCCACTGGAGTTGTAGGGTGTACAGAACCAGCCACTGGAGTTGTAGGGTGTACAGAACCAGTCACTGGAGTTGTAGGGTGTACAGGGCCAGCCACTGGAGTTGTAGGGTGTACAGGGCCAGCCACTGGAGTTGTAGGGTGTACAGGGCCAGCCACTGGAGTTGTAGGGTGTACAGAACCAGCCACTGGAGTTGTAGGGTGTACAGAACCAGCCACTGGAGTTGTAGGGTGTACAGAACCAGCCACTGGAGTTGTAGGGTGTACAGAACCAGCCACTGGAGTTGTAGGGTGTACAGAACCAGCCACTGGAGTTGTAGGGTGTACAGGGCCAGCCACTGGAGTAGTAGGGTGTACAGAACCAGCCACTGGAATTGTAGGGTGTACAGAACCAGCCACTGGAGTTGTAGGGTGCACCATGCTTACATTTGGAGTGGAAGAGTATATAGTACTATCTCTTGGAGTAGCAAGGCCTTTATTACTATCTCTTGGAGTAGCAGTGCCTCTGGTGCTTTTTCTTCGAGTAGCAGGGCTTTTTGTACTATCTCTTGGTGTAGCAAGGCCTTTAATATCATTTGGAGTAGCAATGCCTTTATTACTATCTCTTGGAGTAGCAGTGCCTCTGGTGCTATCTCTTGGAGTAGCAGGGCTTTTTGTTCTATCTCTTGGAGTAGTATGGCTTTTTGTACTATCTATTGGTGTAGCAAGGCCTTTACTACTATCTCTTGGAGTAGCAGTGCCTCTGGTGCTCTCTCTTGGAGTAGCAGGGCTTTTTGTTCTATCTCTTGGAGTAGCAGTGCCTCTGGTGCTATCTCTTGGAGTAGCAAGGCTTTTTGTTCTATCTCTTGGAGCAGCAGTGTCTCGGGTGCTATCTCTTGGAGTAGCAGTGCCTCTGGTGCTATCTCTTGGAGTAGCAGGGCTTTTTGTTCTATCTCTTGGAGTAGCAAGGCTTTTTGTTCTATCTCTTGGAGTAGCAGTGCCTCTGGTGCTATCTCTTGGAGTAGCAGGGCTTTTTGCACTATCTCTTGGAGTAGCAGGGTATACAGTGACAGTTGTTAGTGTATCAGTGCATATAGTATCATTTCTAGAAGTGATATCGACTACTTTGTGGGAGTCAATTAAAGGAGTAGATGCATTTGTTACATGATCAGACTGCAGAGCATCATTATCATCAATTGTAAATCTAGGTGTACAAGTCTGTGGCATATTAAGTTTTGAGGTATTTATTCCAGAAGTGTCATGATCAGAAATAATGTCATTTGTAACATCAAAATGAGCAGCGTTCTCTTCTGCTGGTGAAGTAATTTCTGTTTTTGAATTTTTAGAAAGCAGGAAGGCATTATCACACATTTCAGAAACAAATTTGAGAGGGGAGAGAGTTTTCAATGGTGTAAACTTTGGTTTTGGTGAAGCCCTATTTCTTGGTTTAGAGGAGTTTCTTCCCTTATTTGCATCTGTTTTGACAGATGATTCAAGACTCTTTTTATTAGCCTTAGTCTTATGCGCTGGTGATAGTTGAACAATTTTATTTAAATTCTGAGATTTTATACGATTGCGCAATGGGTACACTTTTTTATAGAGTGGAGACGAGATTTGCTTTGGCTTATTTTTCTTACTGTCAGAAGCAGGTGCTGGACTAGCTGATTTTGTGGTCATGCGAGAAGTCTCACTTTTCTTGAGTTTTGAACATGGCACTGAAGTAGGCTGTACAGTTGTGCTCTGACTTTTTTCTGAACTTCTCCTGCAGGCAGGTAACTGTTTCTGCATACAATGTAAACTACTACTTTTCTTCTGTTGCACATCAGCCAGCACTTCTTCCACCACTTTGTCTCCAACAAATTCAACAGATAAACTTTCAGAACTTTTACTTAACTTTTTTGATTCTGACTTAAAAAGTACCTTAGGAGAGAATTTATTTTTACATAATGGAGTTACATTGATACTAAGACATTTGACTCTTTCTTGAGAATTTAAAGAGCATGGGATAACCTCTTCCTCTGAAGGATTCGTCTCTATGGGTTTAAATGGTCTTTTATTTGTTAAGCTTGAAATATTATCATTTTCTGTATGGTCCTCCAGTGTGTCCATGGCCAAATTAAGAAGCCTAGCATCCTGTGAAGTTGTATTCATATTAGGACTCTCCTCAATTTGTTTTACAGAAGAAAATACTTCTTGAGTTACTGGGAAGTTTTTCATCCTAGACTTCTTTCCACTAGTTGATTCTGCATTACCATTTTCAGTTTTGACCTGGTAGTGTGGTATTGTCTCATCAAAATCAAGGTTTATAGAACATTCTGAGGTTTTGGTGAAGTGTCTTACTGGAAGATTGGGGCCAGTGTATTCCAACTCTGGGAACTTCTTCATTGCTGAAATACACCAAATTCTACATTAAATAACATTGTATAAAACAAATGTAAAGATATTAAAAGTACAAATAAGCTTTCAACACATTAAAGAACATGTTTTACAATATTGTTATATACAAAATATGATGGGAATAGGGTGGGGGAGGATGGAGGAACACAATGCTTTTTCTAAGCAAAGATTTCAGTGACTAAATGGTACAGTCATGCAGAGCCACTAACACACACACACACACACAGCAATTCAGGCATGTCTTGGAGCTAACACAAGAGTTGCAGTGAATGTTAACCCTTGGACAGCAGTTATCATCATTCATTGATTCATGGGGTAATGCGGGTATAGTCAAACATATGATTTGAACAATTATTATCTTGGTTTTACATGATGCAAATATGGATATAATAGCCCTCTGTAGATATAAATAGAGAGAGAGAGAGACAAGTGATGTGATAAACACTCAGTGAAACATCCGAGGATAAAACAAGGAAGCACCAGCAAGTTGGGAACCGGGTGTTAACAGCGCCGGATATAGCCACCACAAAACCTTCCAGAGTGCCTTCACCCAGTGAAACAACATTCATTTATTTTCATGTTTTACTTATGGTTTGCACACAAATTAATAATTCTACAATGAAAAACTATTTTTGTTATGTTTTATTTGTTCGCCACATCAAGACTTTGATGTGGCGGTTGTTCAACGTCCTCCCAGCAAGCATAAGAAATATTGCCGGAACAACCGTGGACATTTTCAAGAGGAAACTAGATTTATTCCTCCAAGGAGTGCCGGACCAACCGGGCTGTGGTGGGTATGTGGGCCTGCGGGCCGCTCCAAGCAACAGCCTGGTGGACCAAACTCTCACAAGTCAAGCCTGGCCTCGGGCCGGGCTTGGGGAGTAGAAGAACTCCCAGACCCCCATCAACCAGGTATCAACCAGGTATATGGGTATGACCATAGCCTCCATAGCCACTGTCAAAGGATTAAGTAAATCCAAACATTTTAAGCAAATCCACACACTTCAGTGAACTCATATTCGTTGAATTGGGTGAGTAAAACTGGTATGCAATGTGTGTGTTCCAACCAGAGATTCGCCGAATCAAGGTTCGCTGAATCGAGGTTTCCCCTGTACTAATCTTTATGCACATAAATACCAACAATTACAAATACTAATACGTACCAATTTCTTTTCTAATTTGGCTCGAATCAGACAAATAAGTAACTGATGACTTCCTGTGCTTCTTGGCACATGAAACACTTGAGGCCTGTGATGAAGGCAGATGTGCATTGCAGATGGTGCCAACCTGTTCAATCTTCCTTCTCTTTGCAATAAAGATCTCACTCTGTGCAAGTAAGTACAGTATATTTTAAATTCTTAAAATACAATTCATTAACATTCTAAAAATTTTAATAAATAGTCAATCAACATGGACAGGCAAAGGAAATATAAAAATCACTGCGATATAAATATACACTGCAAGACTGGGTATAGTATATGTCAGCGGGGCTCATCTTTATTAAAGAGGTGCAGTTTGTGCAAGGCATCCTGAGCCCTAAATAAAGGATAACTTCGTACCTGTTGACCACCTGTTGTTGGTTCCAGGGATCAGCATCCCCATGGCCCAGTTTCAAGCCAGGTCTCCTGGCTGGTGATCTGGTCAACCAGGCTGTTAATTTGTTAAATACTCGCAAACAATTCAATTACCAGCAGTATACTCCCATGAAAATATTTCATGGACAGTTTACATTAGGCTATTTAAAATATGTCTGCCTCTAACATTTACAAACAAAACACTCTTCAAGTCACAAGAATAGTAGCCACTATTTGTAACTATCATATGGAACAAGTGAAATGAATTTGCCTTTTGACACCTAATTTTGAATAAATATTTTCCTGAAACCAGTAGAATCATCCCTAACTCTCTTCTTCTACTCAGTTACTTCCACAGGCAAGGTCCAACGTGTTCCTTTAGGCATGACCATGTACAGGCAGGGTAGGTCAACATTTCACACAGGCACAACATTTGTTTTCCACACATCCCCTATTGGGTCATGTTGGTGCAAGGAGGCAATAGAAAAGACTTTATCCATGCATAATAATCTAAAGAACGCTCATTCAATTATAATTTATGTTTGTACACTCTAAACCCTCTCGAGTGTTACCATGCATCATGGAGATGACCAAGAGCTAGTTGCTCATTAGTCTACCCAGCTGCTACCCATCACCAGGTAGTGTATACACCTACATGTAATCAATAAATAAATAAATAAATAAATAAATAAATAAATGTTTATTCAGGTAAGGTACATACATACAAGAGATTTTACAAAAATTAATAGATTTATAGATAGAGCTAGTACATACAATGCCTAAAGCCACTATTATGCAAAGCGTTTTGGGCAGGAAAAACATTAAAGACTAAAACTTTAATGTGAATGTCTCCTGATTTCTGTATGCCTGGTATTTCTAGTATTCTGTATGCTTTGGCCTGTCTGGAACAGGCCAAAGCAATTCAGCTAAATGAAATGTGTTCTATCCTTAGAAACTTGTTTTCTTGTACAGTGAATTTGTAATTTATATTAATGAATGCTTCTTGTAAGTAATTTTCAAATGCAGGCACCAAGTCTAGTAAACTCTTTAGCACTCTTTAAGTTAACAGCATTAAATACTTACTCTTGTACTCAAACTTTACACAAGCCATGCATTTTGTGTGAAAATTGATAATAATCTTAGTTTGATCATATTTATTATTATGAATGCAAAAATATGACTGCTTGTCAGGCAGGTTGTATCTAAGCCCTACAATTATTATTTGTAACAATAGTACCTTAGGGTCTGAAGTGCTTGTGCTACTAGCCTTACAATGAACCAAATTCATGGAACATTTCCTGTACCTCCTGCTTGAACCACTGCTCCGCATAACTTCCTGAAAAATATTAACATTCTATTGTACTTGACCTTCTGAAGTTTTAAGCCAATTAATACACATTTACTAGTTGATAAAAAACCAGCAATGAATGTAATGAAATGCCAATTTCTGGGGGGAATCCCTTGTGGCTCCCTGACGCTACGTGCCACCTACTAGGTGCAATGTTGACCAAACCACGCATTAGAAGATGAAAAGTCAACGACGTTTCGGTCCATCCTGGACCATTATCAAGTCGATTGTGATGAGATGAGGGAGGTACGGGCATAAGGCAAGAGAGAGGAAAACTTCGAGGAAGGCAAAAGCACGGCAAAAGGTATGGAAAGCATAGGGTAATAAAGAGTGTAAGGGGATAATAATAGGAGTATGAATGGACCGAATTAGTAACCCTTGGTGGTGACATAAACAAGTAACTTAATATATAAATGCCACATCTTCCTGCACATCTGAGAGGGGACCAGGTTCTGGCACTGTGTCCCTGTTAGGGCAGGGAACACTGCCACTGATGGCACCTAGTAGCTGGCACCTACGCTGGAGATGGTAACTTCAGGGAGCCACAAGAAACTTCCCCCAAGAAAATATAATAAAAGATTTATCGTAGAATAAGATTATACATGGTGCTAACACAATTCAGGTTTATCCATTCAAAAGTTTATAATTCAGAGTGGATACCTGCTTTAGTTTTATGCAAGCCAAATATAAAGATAACATACTTTTGTATCAATATTTTGTATGGTTTTACTACTTACCCCACTTTGACCAGAGGCATTCCTTGCTGCAATATTAACCCACCCCTCTGGTTCCAGTGCAACAATCTAATGGAAGGACATAAAATTCTTATTAGGAGATAATTAAAAATCAGACAGTGAAAAGTTTTTTAAGGACACCGGGATTCTAAGACAAGATCCCTGCTGGCCTCACTGGACAGGAAAATGAGTCAGGGCAGAATGATATTCTACCCTGGTGTAATAGGAATCTTTTCAAAATGTCTCAGTTGGGTCATTGTGGTGCTCGGAAGACACTATACAATAACTAAATTCAGCCCATAGTGACCATGGAATGTTCACTATGAATATTTTAGATACCTGGATACCATCCAGGTATCTAAATTGACTTACCACTTCCAGCACTTAAAAGTATATTTATGTATTTATGTATGTAGGTTAAATTAGCATTTTAAAAGCACTACAATCACCTGTGGTTGATTGTTCAATAAATCACTGAACTACACCATTTGTTTAACAGACCTCTAACCTTGTCCATGGAGGACAGAAGAAAATGTATATCTGTGGTAGATAATAAAAAAGAAAGCACTTAACAAGCCACAAATATCACACAATTTCCTTCACTTCCTACCAATATAACTTTACTTCTGTTCACATTATTATTGATGTTTCTTTCACACATTTACTATAATTGAAAATTAAATTAATGTATATAAATCTTTTATGAATCTTTGATAAAATAAATATCATCTGCAAACATTAAATCATATTAGGCCTACCGTATATACTAGGTTAATATCTTCCCTTCAGTAGCATTCTTACATAGACTCTTACACAGACTAGACTTCTATATGCACAGCAAATATTTTAGACAAAATACAGGATTAAAAATAATAACAAACTTACCTGAAACTTTTCCTTAAATATGCAAGAGCAGACTCTTTCCAACATCTCCAGTGGAGCAAACTCAAACAAAAATGTATCGGACAATAGGCAACGACTTTCTTGTGACAGTTGCGAAGCAAATAAGTCGGCTATTGTGTCTGAATTCTTCAATAATACCTCAAGGGAGTAAACTTGAACAGTGCGTGTTAAAGTTACTTTCTGGATATCTTGCTTGTCAAGCACCAAACTTTCCCATGGATGCTGTATAGAGAAATACAAAATATTACTGTAATTTTAAATTGTTAATGCAAAAAATACTGTAAATTTCTCCTTCATCAGAATTCAATGAGAGATAAATTATCAAAAGTTCTGGCCAACAAGGCTACCTCTTTACAAACCTTTATTCACAATAAACATCCTAACTTGGCCACAATTTGTTCCCTTCATGATTATGGAAGAAATTAAATTAGCAGTCCTGGAAGAGATTTTTTCAGTTTCTTTATTTTTTGCTCGTTTTTCCTTGATTAATAACATCTAAGAAACGGATTGTTTCATTAGAGAGGGTCAATTAATTTTCAACATACATGTCAAAATCATGATCATACATGTCAAAAATCAAAATCATGTCATTCAACATTTCATGTCAAAATAAAAGCAAGTGCTTTGGAAACATTTACAATATTGGTCTAATGAGAACATGCCGCAGACAATAGATGTAGATTCCTAGATCAATCTATTTTGCCAGTCAAGGCCTTATTTACTAAGAATTACATGTATGGACAGCAAAAGACATCCACCATACAGTGTATCATTGTAATTGCCAGAAATTAGTCTGGGATATTGTTACTTATGGCAGGTGGCTATAGGTAAAGATTTTGTCACCAATGACCCAGAGGTTCGCCTGGAAATATCAGGCCGATTTGTGTTATATTAGTCTGGGGCACCAGTCAACCGGAGTTCAGCCTACCAGGGACCACGAGCAAGAATCTGGTCCCAAAATAGAGGCAAAGGGAGCAATGGCTTACGGAAACCCCCATGTATTTCGGGTCATTTCATGTCTGCCATCGACTGAGGTTAGCACCAAGAAAGATAGGCATAACAAAACTCACCCCACATGGTAAGAAAATGGCAACCGAAGACCGAACAGAGAGGCAGAACTCCCCCTACTTAAATAAACAAGCAAACAAGCAAACGTCACACTCAGCGCCACTTGTCCGCACAGCCCTTCCCTCCTCAGGAGGAGGAGGGGGAAGCCCCGGATCACTTGAGCCGGCTATTTAACAACTCCAGTTCGGAGGCTGAGCATCAAAACCCATGCAAAAAAACGCTGACAAGAGGGAGAGAGGGATGGTGCCAGGGAGCCTCTGGGGCTCATCCAGAAAATGGTGTTCCATTACATTCAATGCTGGTTGTCTGTGGGGAGCTCCTCCAGCTTCCTGGAGCTACCTAACCAAAGACAAGACAAGTAAAAGAGGGACTTACCCAGGAGGCAGCCACCACTCGCTCCTCAACTCGAAGTCGAGATAGCTGGTTGCAACCTGCGACCCAAAGCGACATGTGAACGACTAGGACCAGGAACGTTGACTAGATAATGAGCAACCAGGACACTGTTCGACCTCCAATACAACCCTTTGTATTGGTGGTTGAAGCTCCTCCCAGGGAAGGCTGTGCGAGCAAGCAGCATAGCGGTGGAGAGTGGCGTTTGCTTGTTTCTTAAAGTTGGGCAAGTTCTGCCTCTGTTTGGTCTTCGATTGTCATTTTCTTACCATGTGGGGTCTGTTTTGTTATGCCTACCGATCGGAGGGCTCCAAATTATCGAGCTTCTACAGTATTTGATTAATGTACAATACCTAAAGATTAATTACTCACATCAATGAATGAGGTTCCTGCATTTGCATTATATGGCTTTTGGCACAGTAGTAAAATTGTTTCACTTCCCAGGTTAAAGTCCACCCAAAATTTCTGGTATGAAGGATCCTGTTAAATCAAAGATTTTAATTCATATTAATGTTGATTAAAATTATGAAGATAGAGAAAAATTGCACTAGCCCTAGTTCAACTAATCTATATATACAAAAAATTACAACTTCATTCAATTTTTATTTAATTTGCAAAATATCAGATTATACAATAATGTTATTTTTAGGTTCACGTTAAATATCAGTCAATAAAATACTATAGAAGAGACTGCTAGCATATAAAATATCACATTTACTCTCTTAAACCCAGATAACTTGATGCAACACATACATGAAAGGTCAAGATGGAGATCAAGAGAAAGTGAAGGGAGAGACGAATGGTTGAGGGCCAGAGGGCTAACAACACTGCAAACCAGGCACACGAGGGCGGACCTTATTGAAACTTTTACATTTCTGAACAAGTTGGAGGATGTTGACCCTGACAATTTCTTCAAAAGGTCAGACAAAACACAAACAAGGATCGATGGTTTCAAACTCAAGAAACCCCAATGTAGGACTGAGAACAGGAGATGCTTTTTCACCCACAGGGTTATAAACCCACGGAACTGCCTACCTGCCAAAGCCGTAAATGCAAAACTGTGTTAGATTTTAAAATCTACCTGGAAAAGATCATCAAGGCAAATGGCTTGGGACCTTCAACAAGCCGCTGGCTTCCTGTCCTCGTCGAGGCCACTAGTATTAGTGGACACTCGGGTAAATCAGGTAAATATGCAGTAAGAGGATGAGGAGGAAGGAGGAAAGGTGGAGAAAGAGGAAGCAAAGGTACAGCATAAGGATGTGGAAAGAAAAAAGAATAAGGGAGAAGAGGATGAGATGATGAGGGAGAAGAGATAGGTGAGGAAGAGGAGAACAAGGAGGAAGATGATGAAGATAATGATGAGGAAGAGGAGGGAGGAGAGGAAGGTGGGGCTGATACATACCCAATATATAGTAACATTTAGCATTACAGTACTTACACAAGTTGTTTAATCAATTACAATAAAACAAATAATGTCCAGAATAAATTTAATTGATAATGATTGGAGGAATGGTAAGAAATGTATATGGCATGGTTGTTTCACCAATGTTTAGGACACACAAACTTTGCATCTCTCGTAACATTAGAATCACACGATTTGGTTTATTGTATTAAGGGACAGGAAGATTGTTGGGCTTATCAAGATCCCTCTAGACCAGGGGTGGTGAACCTTTTTGAGAGCATGTGCCCAAACTGGCAATAATTACCTAAATATTAATCTTTACTGCCCATTGGAGTTTTGAGCTGCAGATTTATAATTTATTGTTATATTTTCTCCTTCCATTTTTTTATGAAGAGAATACAATGCTTGAAAGCATTCTTAAAAAAGTATATTTAGGCAGTGTGAGTCAGGTCTCAAACATAATGTTTTGTGTGCAGGAAAGAGAGAGAGTAGGAATGAGAGAGACATATTAGGAATGAGGTGACATGTCAGTATGCTAAGCATCACAACAGTTTCACTGACTTTTTCACTTTCACAAACAGTAAATTAGTGATATACTGTACATGTAAAGTATACAGATGATGATTCGCAATAACTTGGCTGAGGATATCACATCCAAACCACACGTCATGTAAAGTATATATTCACAGGTAAAATAAAGCAACAAGAAATTGTGAAGTACATATTACTGTACAAGACAAGTGGTAATGTATATAGTACATTAATATTAATAATTATCTATGCTATGGTCTAACATGAGCAACAGTCTTACTTGGGGTTTAGTCAACCTCATTTGGCCAACAGTTGCAGAGTTACAGGGAAAGGTATAAACCTTGCGCTCTTGTCCCAAGGCCGAATTAAAGGCATTTAAAAAACGGCGGCAATCCTGAAAAATATTTAATACATGCAGAAATCATTAAAAGAAAATTATTATTAAAACTTACGGACTAGATAATTATGTGGCATTGTTTAAAGATGCTAATGATGCTGGGATGTAAATGGGTGACTGCTGTCATGTTGCAAAGCATTGACTTTTTTGTAGAATAAAAAAAATGAAAAATTTTGATAAACAGAACAAATTTCAAAAAGGTTTGTTTGGTGTTTGTTTGGTAGGCTGCTAAAAAAAGACAAATACCATAAAAGTTCGTTCAGTATTCGACGGGTAGGCTGCTCCATTATTAATAAATAAATGAAAAATACAAAACAAATTGAACACATTTGAAATAAAGAAAGATTGTCATTATGGAGCATCCTACCTGACAAACACTGAACGAACCTTTATGGCATTTGTCCGCTTTTTTTTTTTTTTTAAAGAAACATGGAGCAGCGTACCTGATGAACACCGAACAAACCTTTTTGACGTTTGTTCTGTTTTTCAAAATTCTTCATTTTGTTTGTTTGTTTTGTTTTTAATAGAAACATGGAGCAGCCTAAATACAGGTGTTAGCATATTTGCCAATCCAAGAAATTTATTACGTGCACATTGTCTGAAATCTATAAATAAAATATAGAGGAGTAATATATTTGCTGATTATAGCTTAGACAAAGGGCTACAAAATGGAATACGGACCAATCTGATTAGTCTAAACCTGTGACCTCTAGAGCTAAGAACGTCGGGGGTGAAAAACCACACCAGCTCTCCAAAAAATATGCATAGAAAATATTATATAAGAAAATCTATATCGTATACTGAACTCACTGGGTCAAATTCTGTTATCATTATGAAAAGTGACTGGAGTGGACATTCCAAATTTGGAAACCAATGGGTGACACACCGGCTTCTCTCATGCGATGGAGTCATGCGGTAAATGGCTTCCACAACAGTGACTTGAAGATCATAGTCACCTAATTCTTCCAGAAGACGTGGAAGACGGATGCTATAACAATTATACAAAAATATGCAATTAATACAATTACGATAATAATAATTAAATACATAAAATAATTAATAATAATATATTAATACATAATATCTACCATCATAAAATATATTGATACAACAATGTACAAACAGTCTATATGATGAAAATTAAATCCGATTTTGACCTGGTATTAAAAATGTTTTTATTTTGTAAAAACCTTGGTTCCCTGGGGAAGTTAGACTGGGTCATTGCCGACAGGGCCTTCATCAAATGTTTATGTTTTATTATAATACAACAAAGCAGCAGCAGTTGCTCTTTAATCTATTGCATTACACTAGGCAGATTTACGATCTAAATGATAAGTCATGATCTACTGTGAAGTCTAAATTATAGCAAGGGAGTGAGAACAATAGATGGGATTTTTTTTTATCACTGCCCAGAGGCCTCCATAGTCCTAAAGCTACCTTGTATGTATTTAGAAATCAGGTACACACCTATTATAATGCTCCATTTCACATGAATTTCTCAAATCATTATACTACAAGTTATACATTCATACAATTGTGATGATATGGTTTGTGATTTTCTCATCAAATTTGCAAAGACAAAGATCTATGGTAAAGTAGGAAGCAAAGAGACATTAAGTGGGTATAAGATGATCTATATGAACACTAAAACAAACAGTAAATACTTAAAATACTGGAAATGCAAACCCTTATATGTTGGGGAAGTAGGAACTGTATTAAGACATGCCAACCAAACCTTATGAATAATCAAATGAACTATTAACTTTAAGAAAAGAAAGTGGATACTTAGATATATAAATCTCTGATAATATGGAGACCCCATAAGTCAGTGCTACTGGCTTAGGGGTTGAAGGTGTCACCAACCCAACAAGCAAAATGGCCGAGTCAGACATAATAACTGTCTTTGTGACAATGTCAATGTCAACTGTTGAGCGCATCCGACCCTATTTTCTGTTCCTCGGTGGAAGGCTGTGATCTTATTGACACCTGTGTAGTTTCCTTTTTACTACAGTATTCATCTTTTACTCCTCAGAAGTGATGTGGGTGGTATCGTGATCAACAGGAATCAGTTCACGCAGGGCAGTCCTGAACTCAAGATGCATTCCAGTGGGAACAAGTGGCCAAGTCGGTGTAGACTGTGATTTGTCTGTGATAGTGAAGTATTGGTGATTGGACCGCCAAATCCCAGGATGGCCAAGCATGGAGTCCTCATCTTCAGAAGGATATAGCTGCTCTGGAGAAAGTGCAACACCGGGCAACAAAAATCATTCCAAAGCCAAGTCAACTTACGTATTGGGAATGCTTGATGGCCACAGGGCTAACAACACTATAAACCTGGCATGACAGGGCAGATCTTATTGAAACATTTAAAATACTGAACAAATTGGAGGATGTTGATTCGAAAAATTTCTTCAAAAGGCCAGGCATAACACAAACAAGGAACAATGATTTCAAGTTCAACAAGCCCCAATGTAGGACTGAGAACAGATACTTTTCACCCACAGGGTTATTAACCCATGGAACTGCCTACCTTCTGAAGCCGATAATGCCAGAACTATGTTTGGTTTTATAGTACAGCTGGAAAAGATTATGAAACCAAATAGGGGGGGGGGACCTTTGACAAGCAGCCAGCTTCCTGTCCTCGTCGAAGCCATTAGTGTTAGTGGCTATCAGGTAAACTCGGGTAATACTGTCTCTCTGCTTCACTCCTCACTCTCACGTACTCATTCCTTGCCCTCTGGTATATCTCCCAGCTCTCTGGTGTTCTGTTATTTCTGTAGTTTCTCCATGTTCTTGTACTTAATTGCTTCGCTATCTTACATTCCTGATTGAACCATGGATTCTTGTTTTTTTTCATTTTCCTCCTTTTAGGCTGGGATAAACCTTTTTGTAGCTTCCTGGCACTTCCGGGTGACGTAGCCCATCATATCTTGTACAGTCTTTTCCCCGAGTTCTATTTCCTATGCTATTCCCATTAAGAAATTCCTCATCTTAGTCATATTTTCCTCTTCAGTAGTTCAGTAATTCTTGTGGGTCCCTTGACATGTTGGCTCAAAGTTTCTTGCTGCCACGTCCAAGAGTTTAGCTCTCCATGTATCTGCACCTCCATGTGGTTCTCCATTTTCCCAGTCTATCTTTCTGTAGTTGAAGTCGCCCATGACTAAAAGTCTGGATCCATTTATGCAGGCAACTGAAACTGCTCTCTATTACATTAATGGTTGCCAAGTTGTTTCTATCGAACTCCTAAAAATAATCCTCAAATTATGCTACAATGTACCTGTTGATAAATTTTAAATTGTACTGTATAAATTATACTCAAATTTTACTATACTGTACCTATTAATCTTCTTCAAATTTCCTTACAATGTACCTGTTAACATTTTTAAATTTTGCTAGAAATTAACTACTTTAAATCATTTGTTAGATTTAGAACCTGCCCAAAATGCTGTGTGTTAGTGGCTTTACAAAAATATAAAAACATCAATGCTATGAACTCTCATAAACCCAATGTACCTTCTTGTACATTGTAAATGAATGTAAATAAATAAATATATAAATAAATAATTAATAATAATAATAATAATAATAATTTTTATTTAGGCAAAGGTACATACATAAAGAGATTTTACAAAGTTTGTTGGCTTTATAGATAGGAGCTAGTACATACAATGCCTAAAGCCACTATTACGCAAAGCGTTTCGGGCAGGAACGGGAATTATATATATAAATAAAAAATAAACTTGTGTTCGGGTCTTCTGTCATTTAATGGAGGGTTGTAAAGGACTGCTACTATTATCTTAAGTCCACCCATTGTCATAGTTCCTGTTATGTAGTCTCTGAATCCTTCACAGCCCAGAATATCCATCTCTTCAAAACTCCAGTCCTTCCTTATCAGCAGGGCCACTCCTCCTCCTCCTCGTCCTCCTCTCACTTCCTGCTTTCCTTCCTATATAGTAGTCCTGTGGAAACACTGCATTTGTTATGCCTGACCCTTTTGTTTGCGAGTCCTATTACCTCTGGGTTTTCTTTCTGCACCCTTTCAGCCAGTTCACTTGCTTATTGGTAATCCCATCAATGTTTGAGTTCATTACCATAGATGGAGTTACTAGTTCACCCCTACCCTCAAGGTTCAAGGACCAAAGAAGAAAGGAAATAGTGTCATCCTAGGAAATGCCTGATAATTCTACCCCCCCCCCCCAAAAAAAAGGCCAAAAAATTGACATCTGTAAATTACAGTTGAGAGAGATCCTTAAAAACTGCAGCCAGTAACCTTCAACTGCCATAGCTGTAGAGAAATCTAGAGCAGGGGTGAAAACAAAGAAGCTGGATGAATCAGCCGTCTGATAGTCTAGGCAGAAGTGGTAGAGGAAGGGAGAGGAAACTTAGTACTGTACTAAAGGTAAAAATATTCTTCACCTTCAATAAACATTATATGATTATTTATTGAAATTCACACTAGAGTGCTAGTACACATCACTGTTTTTCAAACCCAAGAAGTGACAAAGAGCATTAGCTCAGAATCACTTTTTTTTTTACCTTATAGTAGTGCTTTTAAGTGATTCTGTAAAACCAAATGCATTTTATTGTGACTTGAGGAAAAGGAGTGTAAGAAATATAAAACTTACAAAAGATCATCGCAATTTTTCCTGAAGGCATCACGAGCCACATTTGGTGACAACTTCATTAGTTCATTGAGGTCCTTCAGACATTTACCTCGAACAGAGCTTGGTTTGTTTGAATTTACAGCAGGTGTTAGTAAACATCTTCCCACAAGACAAAAATTACTCAGTACTGTATTCTGGTGGTATTCTGTCAGGCTCTGAAAAGTTAAAAGTTCAGAAATTATTTCACTTCAACATAATTACAGTATTGAAGTCATTTATGTTACCAAATTTAAAAAAAATAAACAGGAGCTGGACAGCTGGTATAACTACTAAAGATAATTCAAGATATTATATAATAGAAGTGCAGCCCCTGCAATATTTTATAATAAATATCCATTTAATATTCCTGAAAGAGGATCAATGTAGAATGAGAAGGCAGACGGCACTACAAAAGAAGGAAAAATATAACAAATGCTTAAGCAGACACGACTATCCCTACAAAGAAGAAATAATTTAAACAGGGAGATTGAAGAAACTGGACAGAGACTGAAGCAATCATATTAGATTAAAGAAATGCAATTAGAACAGAAAGCCATACAAGAGATAACGAAAAAACTAAATATTTCTTCACATGTGGATCATTAATGTGGATCCAATCCAGATCACACTCCTCTCCTAAATACTACTATTTCCATTCACTGCTCCATAGCTTCACAGCACTTTTCCCAAATATTTTAATTCCCTTTATTGCTATAAAAAAAATTTATGATTATTTTATAGGGTAAAAGAAAAAATCAGTCACTTCATTTCTACCAGTCTCTTAAAAATAAAAACCTTGCTCTCGACTGCATCCACCTTTAACTGCAATGTGTCAAACTTATTCACCATTTTTTGTAACTGTCACATCCTGCCAGCAACAATGAATTAGCAGCAAAGAATAAGACTAGGCAGTAGGAGCCATGTAACATTCAGTTCACAATTTGCTCACACCTTGCACTTGGTTTGCTCCATCCAAACATGTGAAAAACTCGTCAACAATACGCATCCTCAATTTACTCCCATACCCCCAATTGATTGATAGTCGAGAGGCGAGACCAAACAGCTGAAGCTCAACCCCTAGAAGCATAAACTAGGCAAGTACCTAGTATAAATCTCTTTATTTAGTTTCCCATTCAGTTTCATGGATAATGGTTTCACAGCATTCAATAGCTTTCCTCTAACACCATAAATTGTAAAAACCTTATAAGAATATTAAATTTACTTGTTAATACCACTTAAAATTTAGAAGATCTATACAGTACTTACATAAAACAATCCAGTTAGGTCATGCCATAGTTCCAAGTAGTAAGGATCATCATGAGGCTCTACTTTCTCTGCAAAGCTGTTCATTTGAAGATATACTCTTAAAAGCATATCAGAATTTACAGCTTGACTGCTACCAGTAGCTGCATATAGGGACAACAGCTTTACTAAACAGCATGCTGATGGAAAGTGCTCCAACTCGATTACCTGTCAATGGGTTTGAGTAGAACAAATAAACTATTGTTCATTGTTTAACTTAAATTCCCCACAAGTCTCTATAGAAAAAATATCATGAGGGGAAACTTGAATATAGTATATTGCTAGAGGGACTAAAAAAAAATGAATGAATGACTCTCAATAAAAGTATCTGAATGCTCAAACTATTTAATATTGAAAACTTCCAATTTATTTATAAAAAAAATTTGTAGCACAATTGTCAGAAATCTTTGAAGGTAATAGGAAGTATAAAAAGTTTAATGAACTGGGAGTGTTGAAACTTTAGTAATATGTTCATATTACTGAAGTTTAATTATTAATGAATGAATAAATAAATAAATTTATCCCATCAAATAGTCATGTAGTACCTTTTGTGTCCATTTTAAGACTGCTTCACTTGAATCAGGCAACCAGGAAGGCAGTCTCTCAACCCCACTCTCTTCTTTGATCAGAATATTTCTTACATTATTAAACAAATCATCTGCAGACTTGCACGAGTTGAGGATGTTTAACAAATTGTGGCTTTTTTGGTTCAGGTTATTAACTTTCCTGTTCATGGTTGATGTCGTCTGACTGCAATAATAAAGGAAATATAATTATAACATCTTGATCCAAATTTAAGGGATTACAAGAACACTGTATTCACAACTTTATAGGCCTATGGAAAATATGGAAGTATTGAAAAATAAGAATAACTAGCTCAGTCATTTAGCTTGCCCTGAATTTAGATCGATAACTACAACAATTCTGACAAATGTGACAAATTTATGGTGCAGTTGTTAAACAGATAGGCACTGTTGTCTGAAAACAGAGTTTGTTATTGTTCTGAGAGCAGATTTTTGTTAGGTGATGATGGGCTTGAGGTAGTTTGCAGTGGTTGAACCTCCTCTTCACATTTATTTTATTTATTTTATTTTATTTTATTTATATATATACAAGAAGGTACATTGGGTTTGTGAGAATACATTGGATAGTACAGTAATTACATTCTTATAAAGCCACTAGTACGCGCAGCGTTTCGGGCAGGTCCTTAATCTAGCAGATAATTTTAAGTAGGTAATTTCACTCAGAATTGATAAATGAAAGATACATTACAAGAAAAAAATGAGATGAGAGAGATAAGTAAGTATATTAAAGCACATTGTTATATTAAAGCTCTGATTGATTACATTGACAGCTTGATTAGTAATTTAAACAAGATTAATAGACACCATACAGCAGAATAACTAGCTCAGTTATATAAGATTGACAGCACATATAAGACAGCAATGATCACAATGGTAAAGATGTTCAGAATGGGTACATAAAGATTGGGAGACTGGGTAGCAAAAGATACAGATAAACAAGATTTATAAACACCATACAACAGATTGGCAGCACATATAAAAAAACAGTAATGATCACAATGGTAAAGATGTTCAAATTGGGAACATAAAGGTTGGGAGATTGGGTAGCAATTGATACAGTGCAATTTTAAGGCAAAAAGTGAAAAACTATGAAGATGAAATTAGGTACTTTTTAGTATTGATTTTGAATGATGTAAAAGTTGGACAGCTTTTCAATTCAGTAGGGAGTGAGTTCCATAAACTGGGTCCCTTTATTTGCATAGAGTGTTTACACAAATTAAGTTTAACTCTGGGGATATCGAAGAGATATTTATTTCTGGTGTGGTGATAATGGGTCCTATTACATCTGTCCAGGAAGAGTTTCAGACAAGGATTTGCATTTAAGAACAGGGTTTTGTAAATGTAGTTGACACAAGAGAATTTGTGGAGTGAGATTCACAGATAGTGAATGAAAGATATGGATAAATGGACAAATCCACAAGGGCCGTGACAAGGATTCGAACCTGCATCCGAGAGCATCCCTGGGATACCATTGATTGATAAGGATTAAGCCACCCAAGAGGTGGCACGGGCATGAATAGCCCGTAGACCCTATAACCAGCACTGGGCTGGGCTTTTAATGTGGAATTTAGGCAGATGTTACTAAGGCATTATGCCCAAATCTCTCTCGTTCCTTTATTTTATTTATTTCTTTATTTACAAGAAGGTACACTGGGGGTTAGCAGTGAACATAGAATTTAAGTTCAATTTACATTCTCGTAAAGCCACTAGCAAGCATAGCGTTTCTGGCAAGAAACGCTATGCATTTTACCATTACGTAGAAGATATAAGTGGACTCTAACTTTGCAACCTGCAATTGCACAACGAGGAGCCATCAGGGGAGTGCCACATTGAAGTCTCCAGTGCCAGGGAGAGGCGCTCCAATGATGGCACTGGATACATTAACTTGGCGCCTCTCTATAGCGTCTCCATTACTAACCCCCCTGAAGCAGCTCACACGCGAGAGGCACTTACGTGTCCGTGGCTGAGGGCAGAGGACAGGTAGTAAGGGAGAGTGGCGAGTGTGTGCGAGGAGAGATGACGGAGATGGTGAGGCTGGGCCGCGTGACCGCCCCCGTCCGACCGTCCGTCGCTCACTGCAGCCCGCCACATTTTAACCTCTAAACCTCCCCCCAAATATTTTGTTTACCAACAGATAATCTTTATTATATTTCAATACACACATAACACTATATATATTTCTAATGGTTTTTATTAATATTATCACCGCACGTATTTAATATAAAAAACTGCGATATTTGGATAACTTATTGGAATGGATACGTAATTATGGGTATGGATCTTTGACAAGACGCTGCCTTTCTTTCCTCATCAAGACCACTAAAGTCATAGTGGCCCCTCAGGTACATTCAGGTAGTTAGATTAAGGACCTGCCCGAAACACCATGCGCCTTAGGAGACTGCAAGAATGTAATACTCAAACACCAATGTTATGTGCTCTCACAACCCAATGTACTTTCTTGTATATAAATAAATAAATAAATAAATAAATAAATAAATAAAATAAATGAATGGGACTAGTGATTTTGACATCAATCTTGAGAATTGATATATCATACTATATCAACTCTAAACAGATCCAACCTAACCCAAACCTAATCTAATCTACCCTTATCATCCCTATCATACCCTGTGTCTTCAGACAAAAACACAAGACATTTGGGGGGGGGGTAGAAATAGCCTAAGCTACTCTATCCTTTGAGATGTATTTCTTTCTTGTCTCAATAAACATACTTGAACTTGACCAAGACATTTGTATTTTCCCTGGTGAGACTTTATTCGATATGCCTTTCTCTAATGAGACGTCCGGTGCGACTTTCTGATGAAACTTGTCCGATTTTGACTCTCTATGACGAGACTGGACAGCTCTTGATAAAAATGAGTTTCCTATTGGGTTATTTGTGGACCTGCGTAAGGCTTTTGACACTGTCGACCACCAAAACCTTCTTCTTAAATTACAACATTATGGAGTCAGAGGTCACTCCCTGCAGTACCTTACTGACAGGCTTCAATATGTTTCTGTGAATAATTCAATTTCTCCCACCCTACCCATCAACATTGGTGTTCCCCAGGGCAGCATACTTGGCCCTCTCCTCTTTCTCATCTACATTAATGACCTCCCAAATGCCTCCCAACATCTCAAACCAATTCTATTTGCTGACGACACGACCTTCATTTACTCCAGTCCTGATCCCCTTGCTCTAAATGTCACAGTGAGCTAAATAAAGTCCATCACTGGCAAACTGCCAACAAACTCACCCTCAATATTGACAAAACTTTCTATATTTTGTTTGGCAATAAAGCCTCAAATCAAATAAATCTCAGGATTAACAATACCCAAATTTGTAACACAGTAGATGGCATATTCCTTGGCGTTCTCATTGACCGCAAGCTGAATTTCCAGGGACACATTCTAAATATATAAAAAAAAGTTGCAAAAACTGTTGGCATTCTTTCTAAGATCAGATATTATGTACCTCGCCCTGCCCTGGTGACACCCTATTACTCTCCCATCTATCCTTATCTCAACTATGGTATTTGTGCTTGGGGTTCTACTACCCAAAATCATTTACGTCCTCTAATTACTCAACACAAAGCTGCTATTAGGACAATATCTAACTCTGGCCCCAGACATCACTCGGTACCCCTACTCAAATCTCTGAATATGTTAGATATTAAGTCACTGCACATCCTCTCGTGTATTTTATATATATAAAACGCTGAACGTAATGTCAATCCTGACCTTAAAAGCTTCATAGAAGGTTGTAACAGAACCCATGAGCACCACACCAGAAACAAATACCTATTTGATATTCCAAGAGTACGACTTAGTCAAACTAGAAATGCTTTACAAATCAAGGGACCCAGAATGTGGAATGACCTTCCCAATCATGTTAAAGACTGTACCTCTCTCAACCAGTTTAAGATAAAAACTAAGCACTACCTAATTAACTCCCTGTAACCTACCTTACCCCCTATAATGTCAACCCATGTCTGCTATTTTTAAACAATGCTGTTTGTCGACCAAATTGTATTTTTTGCTGTTTTTCTGTCATGTTCCCCCTTTTTTATTTTTATATTTTCTCAACACATTTTATACTCTAATCTCAATTAGTATTAAGTTTTAGTCTTTAGTGTTTTTCCTGCCCGAAACGCTATGTATACTAGTGGCTTTAAGTATTGTATGTACTACCTCTAGCTTTAAATCTAACAATGTTTGTACTGTAACTCTGCAACTATGTATGTACTGTTCCTAAATAAATTATTATTATTATTATTATTATTATTATTATTATTATTATTATTATTATTATTATTATTATTATTATTATTATTATTATTATTATTATTATTATTATTATTATTATTATTATTATTATTATTATTATTATTATTATTATTATTATTATTATTATTATTATTATTATTATATAGATAAGAGTAAAGCTGCTTGTAGATTAGTTTTTTCAAATATTTTTGACAAGTTTGACAGGATCTAGAGGACTAGAAGAATACAGTACTTAAATTTATTGAGGTGCCACTAGGCCAACTTTTGACCTTCCCTAGAGAGCAACCCACAATAGTTGCCAAACTCCGGGTTACCTGTTTTTAGCTAGGTAAACAGAGGCATTAGGTGATAGATAGGAAACATTCCCCACCATTTCTGTCCCAGCCAGATAACACCATGATGTAGAAGTAGGCTGGCGGGAGCGTCACCAGCGCCATCTGTTGACGGGCGGGGGCGGCGTTGGGGCGACAGTTGCCAGTTAGTGCCACCAGGTGTAGTTTCCTTTCCCGTGTTAACCTTCCCGTCTTGTTAAATGTTTTTGTTTAACTTGTTGGCGGTGTTGTGTCGGGGTCACCCAGGACGGCGCCTCTCAACAAGACGGTACACTATAGTAAGGTGACTTGTAAGAAGACGTGTACACGTAGGGAGATGAGGACGCAGGGCAAGAATGTGATGGAGCGGGTCATATCGCGCCACACTGGCCAGAGGAGCCGCGTCTCCAAGCGCTCAGCGCCTTCCATCTTCCTTTACCACATTACCTTCCTCAAGATGCTGGCCAAGAATTGTGACAATTTTGCCTTTAGGTAATACAAATTGTTCTCATATGAAGTTTTAAGCTGCAGCAGTGGGTTAATAATTTTTGGAGTTTGTATGTCATTGTGTTGGGGGAGAGGTAGCTATTGTTTGTATTTTTGTATGTTCTCTTGTTAGGTTTAAATATCGAGGTTCCTCATCAGGGTCGAATTGGTGACCCTCGCTGGGATGTAACCCCACATGTAGCTCACTAACCCCAGAGAACCTATTTACTGCTAGGTGAACAGGAACATTTGGTAATAAGAAATGTTCCCAACCATTTGTCCTCATAATTGGGGATTCCTGATTGAGAGTTTGGAACCAATACTGAATGTACAGTACGTAGAAAACTTTGGTCAACCTACTGTGCTGTATGCCAAGCAATTTAATCACAAAAATTTGTAATAAAATAATCCATTGTGCCTAAGAGTAGTCAAATAAACCTTTAACTTGAAAAAAAGAAGGTAGTTATTCAACCATATAAATCTCTTCTGCACCTTCACTTGAATTATTGAATCCCAGCATGGGGACCTCGTCTTCAGGAGGACACACAAGTTGCAGCGTGTTGCACAAAAAATTTTCCAGAATGAAGCCGACTCGTACCAGGAGCAGTTATAATTTAATTATAATTCATTGTCGGGGGATTGGCAGCCAGTGTATCAGGGTCGAACATGTTAGGCTTATATTGAAGTCCTCGAACCATTTCTGTCCTCGGGATTCGAACCCAGAATTTCCAATTATGAGTAGAACGAACCCTACTGGGTTGAGGGTCACCTGGCTAACAATACTGCAAACCAGATGTAACAGAGTTGATCTCATCAAAACTTCTAAAATACTATACTGAATAGTTTGGAGGATATTAATCCAGAACACTTGTGTAAAAGGTCAGATGCAGTATAAATAAGAAGCAACAGTTTTAAGCTCAACAAGCCACAATGTAGAACTAAAACGGAAGATACTTTTTCATGCACAGGGTTATCAACCCATGGAACCAAACCACTGAAGCTGTAAATGCTAACATACCGCTGAATTTCAAAATCCACCTTGATAAAATCGGGACAAATGGGAGGAACCTTTGACAAGCCAATGACTTTTGCCTCATCGAGGCTACTGGTGTTAGTGGCCTTCAGGTAAATTCTTTTCTAACGATATATGAAATTAATTTTGATAAGATTTAGGAAAATGCAAGAAGCTAACTCCATCTCTTAATTTTATTCTCCCCCCAACAGTAAATGAGAATTTGCGTGTCTAGGACCACAGTGGACTGAGCATTTTTCTAGGATTACTACTGTACCTTGGTATCCATATTCTCAACTAAATTTTGTTTGCATCTTGTAATGTTTTGTAATGCCATAATTAACTACTGTAACACAATGGGTAATTAATGACTGGCCATGATCCCTGTGCTTGACTTTAAGTATAATTTTTTTTTGTTCATCTGTTCATTGATGGTATTATTCCCTGTAGTTTTGGAGAGTGGACCATATTGGAAAATATGCTGCACTTTTTAAGGAGTAAATTGAAATTGAATTTTATACATAACTCCTTGCTTAATCTAAGGATAATGGATATGTCAGCTAATATATATATATAGGCTTGTTAAGTACTGGATACAAATAAAATAATTTTCACTGCTGTACTTGCTCAATGCTATTATGAAAATGTAATTTCTAATGCATGTGCAACACCTCATAGGTCTGTATCCAACAGGTTAGGATATGGTTTATATTTCAAAAAATTCAAAACTTGCTACTAAAATATATGCTGTATGTTTGCTCTTTCCAAAATTATGCAACACAGGGTTATGTCCAACTTTGCCACATATTCATTAACTTTTTTTCATATACAGTATTGCAGCATTATTTTTATGATTATAATGTGTATTATTAGTTTGGCCTAATGTCAAAATTAGCATCAAATACCTTGGCTTAACAGTCATGTGGGGCTTAGGTACAGTATAGTACTGTACCATTCTTTTTCATGTCTGTGGCTCCTTTGGGTACTTGATTACAACCTGTGTCCCCTTTCGGGTGTACCATTCATATTGATTCGTCCATCTTTTTCTACCCTGTCTGTTCCCTTGCGGAATTGTGGGTGGTGGTCATGTCTCCTGGTCTTGTGTTCCCGGGGCAGTCTTGTCTTGTGTGCGAGACTGGGGTACTTCTCTATATTCTTACCTCGGTCTTGTGTTCAGACTGTGGTCCTTGGTTTGTTCTAATTATTTTATTATGGGCACCGATTTAGTGCTTAGCGACCTTGCCCTGTATGCTGATCCGGCTCAAAAGCCTACGGTCCTCGGTATTCTGTCCATATTACAGGCGTTTTAGCCATGGGGGCTTCTTTTGTAAAAAAAAAAAAAAAAAATAATAATAATATGCATTAACGTTGTGTGTTATTATCTGCCGCCAAATGCGGTAGGTAGGGCTCACCCCCAGGTTCCTTTCCTGGTGCCCTAGGTTTCCTCAGGTTTATCTTTTTGGAGGTTTCTTCCTCTTGGCTTTCCCTGGCGGGGGTTCGGGAGGCTCTTGGCGTGTACCTCCTACAAGACCCGGGTTACAACTTTGTGCTGGGTCAGGGTTTGTTTGAGTTCGGTTGAGTGCACGGATCTAGTGTAGTTTCTTATTTAGTGTCGGTTGACTGTACATAGTTTTATTTGTGTAATCTAATAATAATAATAATGTCTCAGTATTGTACATTGCTAGTGGTCTCATCGAAGGTTATTTTCAGGCAACGTAAGATGCAAATAAATGAAGATGCTGTTTTGTCATGTGCTCCAGATTTGTTGGCTGCATTTTATGACACTGGAAAGATTAAAAAGAAGGCATTAAAAACTGGAGAAGACAAGAAACAAATGGAAAATGCCAATAAAAGTAAAGATCCTACATATAGTATCTTTGAAGATGATGAAGATGATATTTCAGATATTTCAGATAAGGAAAATTAGTGTCAAGAATTGAATTAAAAGGTAATTTATGGTTTGAAGTACAGTATTGTACTGTAATTGGTTCAGTTGTGTTTATAAAAGTTTAAAAGAAATGTGGTTAATCTGTTTATTTTAAGGAGGTACTATACAGTAGTTAATTTCTATGCAAAAATAATGACTAATTTGAAGGCTTAAAACCGTTTATGGCAAGCGGTTTTCTTAACTTAATTACCTCGGTAGTCTGGATGTAGTCTAGGATGATAGGATACCAGGATTTAAATTTTGTATTCATTTTATTGGTTATATAGCATGGGGAGGTGATGTGGCCCAATAGATATATGTAAGTTGAACCTGCAATGACTCGTTTAATCATGAAACGAAAACTTTTAGCAACCCGATATTATTCCCTAAAATGGTGAATAGCTAAATATAGATACTATTGTATATTATGTTTGAAAACTGACAAAATGTTAAATTGAAGTGTGCATTCATTTTCTTCATACAGTGTTTTGTAACCAACCTTTATTTTTGCTGATCATTTTTGCTAGTGTAATGGCACTCACGAGCTGAAAATAAATGGTTCCCTTTTCCTATGGGAATGTTGTGTGATTTAGGGTCACATTGAATTGTTAAAGAGGACCTCATGTTCAGCAAGACTGGTAAGGAACTTGGTTCTTTGTCAGCTACAGAAAATTTATAAGGCAAGTTCATTCAAGGTAAAAAAATTACCGGTTATCTTAAATTTTGTGAAGTTGTTGAATTCTGAACTGTTACTAAAACACTGCTATATAGAAAAATAAAGTTTTAAAATCTAGACTATTTTTTTTGTTTAGCCCAGCAAGTAACATCTTGTACTGAACTATAAATGCTGTTAGGAAGAAATACTTGTTATAGTTTTGCATAGATTGTTGCAAAAAACTTTAGTAAAAGTAGTTTATTTTTTATTAAATGTAATGGGCAGAATTTGTATCAAAATTCAATAAAAAAGTACAAAAGAAAAGGTTGTTAATTATGACAAAATTTTATAGTTTAACAGATTTAAAGAGGTATTTAATATCTGGATACATAAATACATATTCTTTAACATTGTATATTACAGCTAGTTAAAAATTTAAAATTGGTTTCTACAGAGGTGTAGCAAGTGTAATATACTTGCTCCATACTCTCATTAGCTTATGTGCAGTTAATGAGATAGGTTACATAGGATTAACAAACCAATCTCTAAGTTATCACATTTTGTAATTGTACAAGTAATTACAGTTGCCCAAAATGCTGTGCATATTAGTGGTTTTAGCTATAGTATGTACTAGTATTGAATGTATTTACTTTTACCTGAATAAACGTTATCTATCGTATCTAATAATTCTTCCCAACCTGCTAGAGGATGGTCAGGTGAGGGAAAGGCTGGTAGTATAACCAGTCAACAGCAAATCATCATCAGTCTAACTGCAAGAGTGGTTCAGTACAGATGCTTGAGAGATGCCACCACACATCTTCAACATTCACCAACAACACTGTAACAGTTGACGTGTCCAGTTCCTACCCACACAGACCTGACAGCCATACTCCTGCCACATCGAGTTCCTCGACTCTGCCCGTATTCAGAGCGCCCCGTTCTACACTCGCCCCGCATCCGACCTCTAAACCCCCGATCTCACTCGGCTATGCCATGTTTCAAGCTTCATCTCAACTACTACAAAACTTCACTAGACTACCAACAAACTGATTGCTGTAACCAAGACTATACTAAATAAGTATAAAAAAACACTAAATTCTGTGTGTAATCAACCAAAATGCATACATGTAAACATATGTTAGAGGTAACTCTTAAAAGTACAGTATAGTACTGTATTTTCACTTCATGTGCAACCTTTTATGCATTCTTTTGATCAGTATTGAAAATTACAAATCTAAAAATCATGCGTACTTTACAGGAACTTGCACTATACTAGCACTAAAATAAATAATTTTAATAATGTATAGTATTTGTAGTTGAATTTGAGTTACACGGGCAGTTTTGTTACGTTGAAGTAAGTAAATAAAAATAAAGCACAATCCCAGTAAGAAAATGCAGCACCGTCTGTGCTACAGGATAATCGGTACTAAATATTCTTCGGAATGTCAATTGAAAAGCAAAAGGCAGATGAACAATGTCAAAGGCATTGAAGTCTTAAAGGGTTCTGTTGAAGGACAAGTAGCTTGGAGAGATATTAGGAATGCAAGATTTCTCATCCTGAAAATCTAAACAATCTGCAAGGTGAATAACATTAAATAGGACAGTGCAGTTCAGACAATAATGAGCAGGGTATTGTTGTATCAAGTGCCCAAAATATCAATGCAAATGGCCTATATGCAGCTTAATCAGAGCTGTTCCCACCACCTATTATGGTGGTAGGATGAAGGTCATGGGGAATAGGTCGCATTAGAGAGTATGCAGTTTGTTATGTCTTGCCAGACGATTGATTTCAACAGGCATGAATTGCAGTATGAATGACCAGTTATATGGGATCTGCCGAACATCTTGGTATCCCCGGCTCATTTTTAAAATCATATTCAAAAGAAGTATGGAGTTAGTTAAATATATCTAATATATATATGTATGTATGTATGTGTATGGATGGATGGAGCTTTGGAGCAAAAGGAGTCTGAGCTAGCAAGAATGAATGTTATTATTTGGAACAGAATAGCATAAAATGGGGGAAGATTCCATTTTTTTTTTTGTCATAGTAACTATTTGATCAGAAATACCAATATGTTGTGATGGCCCACCAGAAAGTTGACTTTTGTATTACTGAATTTGGACCAACCAGAAAGTCTAACAGTAACATAAATATAAACTGTCTTAACAAGAAGTTATATTTGTTGCTACGCCAGATTATAATACATGCTATCTTAGGCCAAATATGTGCTGTACTAGGCCTTAAAATATTTTAGTTTTTAGCCTTATTTTTTTCAGGACTAGAAAATTAATAGTATCAGAGTGGCTTACAGGCTGTCCATCACTAGATATTGGTTCTTTTCACCAAGTAGTTACTGAAAGTACTACCATTTCAGAAGGATGGGTTGAAACAGACACGTCCAGGTGATGTGGCATAAATTAGCCCATGAGAGGTGAGTAGCAGTGACAAGCCCGGTTGGGCTGGACTTGTGATCCTGTGACAAGCCCGGTCATGCTGGACTTGTGATCCTGTGGTCCTGGGTTTGATCCCAGGCGCCGGTGAGAAACATTGGGCAGAGTTTCTTTCACCCTATGCCCCTGTTACCTAGCAGTAAAATAGGTACCTGGGTGTTTGTCAGCTGTCACGGGCTGCTTCCTGGGGGTGGAGGCCTGGTCGAGGACCGGGCCGCGGGGACACTAAAAAGCCCCGAAATCATCTCAAGATAACCTCAAGAAGCCCTGCCTATCTTGAGTTTCTATTACAGTACTTCCAATACTCACTCTAGCCACGGTGAATGTGTACTTTCTACTAGATCCTGGGCCACCGATCATGGCTTCAAGTTCTCTACTTCTAAGACTTGTGCCATGACTTTTACGCGGAAACGGGTTGTTCTTCGTCCCTCTTTGTCACTTTATGGTCATCCCCTTGAATACAAAGGTTCCGCGAAGCTTTTGGGGTTATTCCTTGACACTCGTTTGTCTTGGTCTCCCCATATCTCTTACCTCCGTGTTGCTCTAAGGCCCTTACCCTCCTTCGGGTCTTGTCCCATACTTCTTAGGGGGCAGATAGGCGCACTCTCCTTGCTTTACATTCCTCTCTCGTCCTGTCTAAGCTCGATTATGGTTGCCCTGCTTACTCGTCTGCTTCTCCTTCTACTCTTCGCCGTCTTGATGCTTTGCACCATACTGGGTTGCGCCTCAGTTCTGGTGCCTTTCGTTCGACTCCCGTCCTTAGCTTGTATGTTGACACTGGCTTCCTGTCTCTCCAGGACCGCCGTGATCACTACTGTCTTCGCTATCTTGCGCGGTCCTTACAACATCCTTCCTCTCGCCTCTGTCGTGCTTTAACTTTTACCCCTCCTGCGGTTCCTGTTCCTCTTCACCACCTCCCTCTTTCTGTCCGGTTATCTCGCCTCCAGGATTCTCTTTCCGTTCGTATTTCTAATGTTTCTCCTCGTGTTGTTCCTTCTTTGCCCCCGTGGAGAGTCCCTCTTTCACGGTTTTGTACTTCCTTGACCCGTATCACTAAAGCTGTTACCCCTCCTACGGTTCTAAAACGCCTTTTCCTTGAGCACTTTTCTTCTCACTCCCGCTCCGTTTCTGTCTTCACCGATGGGTCAAAGTCGGCGGACGGTGTTGGCTACTCTGTTGTTTTTCCTGATCGCACTTATATGTGTCGCTTACCTCCGGAGACTAGCATCTTTACAGCGGAACTTTATGCTATTCTCTATGCTCTTCGTCTCCTGCTTTCTCGTTGTCAGTCTTCCTTTGTAGTTGTTGTTAACTCTCGTAGTGCCCTCATGGCTCTCGGGTCCTTTAATCCTGTTCATCCAGTAGTTGTCGAGATCCAGCATTGGCTGTTTCTTGTTCACAGTAAATTTAAGTCGGTTGAGTTTTGTTGGGTTCATAAGGGTATATAATATGTGACGGTAACGCGTTGGTGTTCGGCTGTTCAAAGCTAGGGGTATGGCCTCGTCACATAGTATTAAAAAAAAAATAGAAAATCTGGAACTTCGTCTGTGGTAAGGTAAGGAGAAGACACACAAAACACAAGTAAATTTTAACAATGAAATTTTAATTACGTTAAATAAACAAAACATGAATAAAATGGACATACAAATTCGTATAATAAAATCAATCAATCAAAATAATAAGAATAATTAAATGACACAATGAAAAGTTACGTTAAGACAAGTGAGCAAAATAACAAGAAGTGCAATATACAAGTAAATGAGAGGTGCGGGAATATTGGCTTTAAGCTATCACCTCTCTCAGTACACGTACGCCAAAGCTTACGTCTAGCAGGGAGAAGTGTTAACTGTGAGAAAGCACTGAATATTCTGAGGACTGAGGTCGTGGCGGCCCCAGACATCAAGTAGTATGGTGGGCGAGTGCAGTTGCAGCCAGACCGGCGACCAATCAGCGAGGAGCCGGCAGCAAGACGGGTAGTTTGGCGGTTTGAGTCTGAGCAGGTGTCCCTGGCTGCATACGTTTTGCGCTCTGGCAAACCTTGCTGGTGTTGTTGTCATTGTTGGACATTTCTTCCATAGTAGTTTTATATAGATGTAACGACGTATTTGTGGAGGGAAGAGCAGGCTCAATCTCTTGAAGGAGATTATTGTCACACCAGCCATATTGGTGTGTCTTTAAATGAGCGTGCGGATGCTGCCGCCAAGGAAGCTGTCCGCTCTTGTCCCATCTCTCGTAAAGGCATTCCGTATTCCGACTTTTACCCGGTTATCCATTCCTCAGTCCTTACCCGTTGGCAGGCTTCTTGGTTGTCTGTTACTGGTAACAAGCTACGTACTCTTAAATGTTGTGTTTCCTCGTGGCCGTCCTCCTTCCACCGTAACCGGCGGTGGGAAACAGCTCTGGCGAGGTTGCGTATTGGCCATACTCGCTTAACCCATGGTCACTTGATGGAGCGCCGCCCTGCTCCTTATTTATTTATTTATTATTATTATTATTTATGCATATACAAGAATGTACATAAGGAATGTGAGGATACAAATATGGTAATTACAGTCTTGTAAAGCCACTAGCACGCGCAGCGTTTCGGGCAGGTCCTTAATCTAAGAAAATTTTAAGGAGGTAAATACTTGCAAAATTATAGACCTAGTTGCCTTATATAGATTATAGATTATATAAATTATAGACCTTATTGTCCTAGTTGCATTGTCCCTCTTACGGTCGTGCATGTCCTTCTTGAATGTCCTGACTTCCAGGACGAGCGTGTGTCTTGCTTTCCGACCGCCCCTCGCGGTCACCTGTCCCTCGATAGAATTCTTGGTGACTCGGATACTTTTGATATCGTTCGCCTTATGCGTTTTTGTTCTCGTATTGGCATCCTTGGTGATATTTAGCGCCCTCTGATTATTTTGCGTATTTGATGGTGCTACATAGCCTTCCCGGTTTGGTGCCTTCTTTTGATAATTACTTACTTACTTCCATCAAACTAGCGTCACACGTCTCTTGAGAAATATTGTCGAATTTCAGAAATCAGGAAAGACCAGAATCTGGCTCACTCAACGAGGCGAGGGAAGCTTAATGATAAAATAGATACAAAACAGAGACGAATCCATCGAAATGCATAGGCAAAAAATACAGCTTGAAGGTACATAGTGACCCCCCCCCAGTTAAACAAGGCCAACGATCGTTACCACGAGGTAAGTGCTATAGCCGTGACGCCCAACTGTC